CTAAAGAGCTCAAACCGCACAGCGTGTCCATCATTTTAAGAACAGAAGAGAGACAGCCCATGTCACCTCAAGGGCCTCCCTCCCATTTTTCTTAAAGAGACAAAGTGCTTGCTCCCTCACTATCCATCCTTCGGTTCAGTCATACTGCCATCTGGTGGTCAGAAAAAGGCACTACACACAAAACAAATTAACAAACATTTCTTCTTAAATTTGGCAATAATTACTAATTATTGTCGAATTTCAAACAACATTATCATTTATTGCAATAATTTCTGAGACAATTAATCGCCCAGCAAAATTTGTTATCATGACAGGCCTTATAATGTGTATGTATTGTCACCATTGTATGTTCCCATACAATGGTGAAATTGGCTCTCTGCATTTAACACCTGCACCACCAGGTGGAGCAGTGGGCAGCTATGGAAAGCGCCCGGGGATAAGGTGTCCTGCTCAGAGACACTATGAAATGTACAATGACTGGGGATTGAACCCGGGACCTTCGGATCCCGAGTCCTGCCCTGTCTCTACACCATCTTGGCTCCTAACAGATGAACATTTAGTTTATTTATATTCGAGTTAAATATATAAGTAAAAAAAGTTTGTGGGTTTTGTCCTGGTTCTTGCATGTAATATACTTCTCTAAATAAATCCATTTTATCGTTAGACATTTAGTGTAGGACGATGACCCCACTACAATGTAGACATCTAGTCATTAAATGATCGTCTTTGCAGGATATTAGAAAGGACTTTAGGAACATATTAGGAATGCAGTGGGCATAATGCATAATGCATAATACGTGCACAAGGGTTTTGAGCACACACAAAATTTCTGTAGTGAGGATTTGTGGTTTCTCTACATGAGAACAGAATATTGGTGGTCCTAGGTGGAACGTGGTGGTATCCATGACATGGGGACTGCAAGCATGCATGTGTTTTCTATGAGCAACGCAGACAAAAAGCTTGTAAGTCTACATTAGCACTGCAGATAAAAACAGCCTAAATCAGATTTTTATTTTGCTCCTATGCAACCAATTATGTTTTGTTATTTTTATGATATTTTGAATGTCCATCCCTCCATTATCTTTATCTCTTCTTCCTTTTGTTGGATCGAGGGGGTCACTGGTGCCCATGTCCAGCAGTTACTGTGCGAGAGGCAGGGGACACCCTGGACAGGTCTCCAGTCCATCACAGGGACACATAAAGACAAACAACCATTCACTCTCTCACTCACACCTAGGGACAATTTAGAGTTACAAATCAGCCTAACATGCATGTTTTTGGTCTGTGGAAGGAAACCGGAGTACCGAAGAAAACCCCCGCACCCACGGAGAGAACATGCAAACTCCACCCAGAAAGGCCCCTGGCTGACATTTGATCTGGTAACCTTCTCACTGAGAGACAGCAGCTCTACCAGTTGCACCAAAATTGGATACATCAATGTTTTTCAAAGCGACCTCTGTCTGAACGGTCATGTTTTTTTCTGATTTTTACATCATGAGGTATAGTTAAACCGATCAATCCAAATATTGATAACACTGATATTAACCTTGTTCAGTTTAAATATTGGAACTCTACACATATTTTTTAGATCTTTACATAATTTTTAGATGATTGTTTCCTTTGGTATCGGATGCTGTGCAGCTGGAAGGACTTTTACTGAAACTTTTTTAGTTTTGGACATTTGTTATGATGCGTAACCATGACAACAAGCTGTTTATTTTACAACCAGGAGCAGCCGATTAACATCTCAAATGCTCAAATAATATCTCAGCTGCAGTCGCAAATCTCAAATGAGTTGAAAAGGAGGTGCCGTAGATGCATTCCCGTCTCCTTGCTGGCTGTGCTCGAGTGCCTGACCACTGAGTTCCTGGAACCAGCAGGAAACATGGATCGTGACAGCAGAAGGACCGGGATCCATGTTTACTTCCTTAAACACAGTATGCATATCGTGTCTTCTTCTATACATGCAGGTCACCTCAGAATAGGGCTGGACCATAATTTGATATCAATATATGTCACAATATACTTGTATTCAATAACGGTGATATGAGTTTTAAGCACATTTTCGATAGTTCGATATGATTACAGCATGTCAATGACACATTTTTTTTCTTTTCGGGTTGAAGCGGCCGCTTCAGTTTCAACCTGAACAGAAAAAGGTGTGACACAACTATGTGAGTGTGTGTTGATGTAGATGTTACGCAGAGCTCAAGTCCAGAAGGAGTCAGTGGTAGCAGGCTAGGCTAGGCTAAGCTCCAACGTGCTGTTTTTGCTTCATAATGAGTGCCCATGACCGTCAGAATGTGACTGAACAAGCTTTCACAAGTGAAGAGAAAGCAGATGACATAACTGATGAGAGGAAAGACTAATTCAACAGTGTGGAAGTGGTTCGGCTTTCTAAGAACTGATAAACTGCAGGTTTCAGTGTGCTGCAAAATGTGACGGAGAGTTGTTCTAACTAGCCGTGTGAGCACTTCTAACTAGTTTCACTCGATAGAATATGCTGAGAGTCAGAAGAAGAAGCACAATAAAGTTTGAGCCAACGTGTCCCAGCGTTTAAAAGGTAAACATTAATTTATTTGTACAGTTTGTACAGTTTTTCTGAGGCTTTTATATTGTTGTAACCGATATCGAATTATATCGTTATCGACCGAAATTAAGAAATATATCTTGATAAAAGTTATGGCCATGTCGTCCAGCCCTACCTCAGAACTGTGAACAGTCCACACTGGAGTCTGGTGGAGGTCTCATTTTAATGGTAATGTGAACAATCACAGAAAAACATTAGATCTAAACAAAAACATAAAACAAAATTGAGCATTACGACCTGCAGTGTGAACATAGCCTGTTTCACTGGTAACTGGCTGCATTGTTCCTATAGGTGTCAGAGAGTCATAATGGTCATTTGTCTCATTTTGGTAAAGAAGTGTGATGGAGTTTGAATAATCTTTTTAACATTATAATTCTGTATTCTGTTTACAGAATACATTGACTTTGCAACCCCTTCTAAGGACAACAGTGGCTTTTTTAGCTAACATTAGCTGTTTGCTAATAAGAAGCATTTGTCAATTTGAGATGAATTACCAATAAATTGCTTCACCTAAACTCTAGTGTCTCATTTTTTCTGCTTAGCACAGAAGACCTCTGACTTTTTAAAATGCACTCCCTTCTTCTGACCACGAGCATCATTCCTGCTTCTTGTCCTCCACTGAATCACCGTCACGACAGTAAATGGCAGTAAATCAGGTAGGCGGGTGTTTACGCAGCACCTTGTGGCCGTTGTTCTCGCTGTCTGAAGGGAATGAATATGATTTGGATGCCAATTAAAGCCAAGGTCAGGTGTGTCAGAAGATGTCTTGTGCTGATTATTGCAGCACGGCAGGTGTGTGCTGGCTGGTCTGCTGTCACTTGGTGTTACAGATAACACACACACACATACATCCTCATAGGGACTTGCACATAGAATAGTGTGAGTGGAAACAAAGTAGGGGAGGTGGGTGTTTACTCTCGGTGAAGTAGTGGAGCTCTGCAGCGTAAAATAAACACCTGGAATGTGTGTGTGCTTTAATGCACCACCTTCATCATCCTCATCTTCCTCACCTCTGCCTGCCAGTCCACAGATTCTCATCTCCCTAAAAAAGAATGGCTCTTTTCCTCCGATTACTCTCTCTTCAACTCTTTTCCTCCGTCTCCTTCTACGCTTCATTTCTCCTCGTCTACCATCTCTACAAGGAAGTCCTTTAAGATAACTAAAGAGCTCCACCGCTGATTCTGTCCAGCCGTGCCGGACATGCGATAGTTTCACACTCTCATGCATGCACATACAGTCACATACATCATGTGGCAGCACTGCAAAAGGAAGATGTAAAACCATAGTGTTTGCTCGGATATAAACCCACATCCAGCTGAGCTGCAGAAATGAATCAAAACACACACTCGCAGGTAATTCTCAGTCGAGTCACACGCCAAGGGGTGAGCGACCAATTGACCCACTTCATTCAAACCTGGTGATCAAGATGAATTGAGAGGATAAAGGTGGAGAAAACAGAGATTTTTATCTGAGCAATCCGTAAACAAGACGTTTCAGACAGAAAGCCAGAGTAACAAACGGTTGGAAGTTGATAGGCAGAGAGGATGAATGACTCTTAAAAGATGGTGGAAACAGTGAAGATTACATGAGAATGAGGAAGAAATGGATTTCAGCTGAACAATAAACCAACACACGAGGGAGGTTTCCCAGCATGTTTGCATGAATGGAGGGATGGATGTATCGTGAGAAAAGATTGAAAATTATGTGGACTGAGCAGCAGACAGTAAAACAACGATAATCGAATGGTTTTCTGTAGGAATTAATGGAAAAAAAACCATTTTATTATCTCCCATCATCACCACGTATATGGATGAAAACAAGTGGCATTGGGTATTTACAGTGAATAAATGGTAGTAATGGGTGTTACATGAAAATAAGTACTGGCTCAAAAAGAAGGAAATCTGCTTTAGTTTAACAAAAAGCATTGCAGATGCAGATCAAAGCAACTTCTGAAAAAATAATGAAAAGCTGTGACCGGCGTTAAAAACCAATTTGGTCTCCGAAACACGAAGATAAAAAGACGAGACAGTTAAAGATTAATCGAGTTCTCAGGGAGAAAATCCATTCGTAATGCGGGTTAAGAAGGGGGTGAAACGAGGGATGCATGGGAATAAAAATGTCAAATTTCCCGTGCAGATGTGTAAACGGACCTAAGTGAAGAACAAAGGTGTGCAGGCACAGCTGGCTGAGTGAACAGAGGTGTTGCAGATGTGCAACGGCTGGATGCAGGAAAAGATGAATGGAGACGTAAGCAGAATCATGGATGTGTAGCTCAGAAATACGACCGTAAGAACAAATAGGTGCATGAAAGGATGAGACAGAGACTAACGAATACAAAAAATAAAAACAAGGACCAGCAGGTAAAAACGTAAAATAAAATAAAACAACAGAAGATAAAAGGATAAAGTACCTGTTGCAGATTTGGGTCTGTGTCTTCCTTTGGGCCGTCTTTGAGAATTGCCCATACTATTCTTCCTGTCCCAAAACATCACCGCTTCATGCCACCAGGACACACACACCCACACTGACTGGCTGACTGACTGACTGACTGACTGACTGACTGACTGACTGACTGACTG